TAAACCTTAGGGGGTCCGTCTAGAACCACCTATAGGTAGAGGTCTTAATCCCTCCAAGACCATTAGGAAGGGACGGGTAACAACACGCAATAGAGATCGCTGACCAAACACTCGCTTTGCATGACCACTAAGGGGATGGGAAGGGTAGATATGGGATATGATCACTACGCGCTAATGTCACGTGTAGCCCCTCATCGAGGAGTGTTTACCGGACATTGTGTGGGGGTGATCCTATAGGCTAACTAACCTAGGACCCCTCTTTCACCAAAATTCCCTTTCATTTAAACCTTTGTTTTACAACTTGTCCGAATCTTTATCTTATTACTTGAGTTATCTAACGTGCTTTACTTGCAACTTATTTGATCCAACTGTTTATTTGTAATGGACTAATTCGTGAATATAAGTTCGGTCGGGACCCACAGTTGTGGACCAAGAGGGGTGCCTAACACCTTCCCCTCGAGGTTACTTCAAGCCCTTACCCTAATCTCTGGTAATGCAAAACAATCCAAGAGTTAATCACTCTAGGTGCCCTAACGTACCGTAATTCGTTAGGTGGCGACTCTTCAAATACCCAATTCCCAAAAGGAAATGAGTTATCACACCCCATGAAAATGTCGAAACCCGGACCTCTCTCCTCGAGGAGGGAAAAAAGGGGGGCGCGACAGTACTCACACTCTCAGAGTACTCAATCTCACTGTCTCGTATTCTCACTCATCATGCTAAATACTCGACACTCTCAGTCACTCGGTACTGTACAGAGCAGATCGAGCCCAATGCAAATGAATCCAGGGCAGGTCCAGCCCAAAAATCAATAGTAATTGCGCCCACTATGGATGTGCAGACTCTGGAGGGGCAGATCTAGCCCAAACGCTATAATAGGCCAAATCCTGGCATGAATCAATAAAGCCTATTGCGGCGTGCAGCCCAATCTCATAAATATCACTCACAACAGGCCACAAACTCACTCATTCATCAATCTCTCTAGTCTCTCGAGCTCACAACACAAACGCTAAGCAGCGCTAATCAATGATACGAGATGTGACAATATACGATAACAGAGACCGAGATATGATATGTAATGATGAATACGACTGAGTGCATAACTACAATTAAGCAAATAACTCAACAACAAAGAACGAACACTATGGGCCCCAATAGTACCAGCATATATCCTAAACATGATTTGTAGCATAAATTACAGCTCAAGTGCTCTAACACATAGAGTACAGTAAAAATGTTAAAATAAGATAGCTACACAATTCCATGGAATCGACTAAATCACGATTCACACGGTGCACGCCCACACGCCTGTCACCTAGCATACGCGCCACCTCAACATCAATCACATAACACGTAATTCGGAGTTTCATACCCTCAGCACCAAGATTATAAGTGTTACTTACCTCGAACAAGTCAAATCCCATACCGAGCAAGACAAACAATACTCCAAAAATGCCATCCCGCGACCAACCTTCGAACGGCTCGAAACTAGCAAAAGCAACCCGAGAATATCAAATAATGCCTAATGAAACAATTCCAAATGATAAAGGTCGAATCTTTAATCAAAACCCCAAAACCAAAAATTCAAACCTAGGCTCATACCTCGGAACCTGACGAAACTCAAAAAATCCGATAATCTATTTTATTACGAGTCCAATAAAACTAGTTTCACCCATATCTGACTCTAAATCGATGTTCAAAACTTAAGAATTCACTATATGAAACTTTGGACAAAACCCCCCAATTTTCTCTTTAAATTCACAATCCAATTACCAAAAACGAAGATAGGTTCACGAAATATAACCAAAACCGAGTAGAGAACACTTACCTCAATCTATATGGTAAAAATTGCCTAAAAAATTGCCCAAATCCGAGCTCCCCAACACAAATTATGACCAAATGAACAAATCCTCGATATTAAATATTTTTACACAGTTGTTCTACCTCGTTTCTTGTGCCAAATGATCCTGAAACTCGCTTTTGATACCTCCAATGGATTCCTTGTGAATTTTCAATCAAATTAGGCTTTTGAATCACTCTATTTGACCTTATAATGAAGGAGATATGTTAGTTTCAATATTTAAAAATAGTGTAGATTTTTAAATACGAATTCAGTCTATTTCGTAAAGAATCTGAAAAATCTAGCAACCCAATTCTTAGTAAACTGACCATAAAATTCCCCATACGATGTCGAAACTTGATGATTCCAGTTGCTATGGTTCTAAAATTATGATACGGATCTAATGCTTCAATCGACAGAAATTGGAGCTTATTTGCTTAATGTGGTACCATTTATGCTTGAAGAAACGACGTCGAAACATCAAAAAACGAGCGCAACACCACCCAAACCTATCCGAAACTCACCCGACCCCTCGGGACTCCGTCCGAATATACCAACAAATCCCATAACATAACAAGGTCTTACTCGAGACCTCAAATCACGCACAACAATATCAAAACCACGAATCGAACTTAATGAACTTTGACTCTTTGAACTTTCAAAACTCGTGCCGAACCTTATCAAATCAACTCAGAATGAACTCAAATTTTGCACACAAGTCCCTAATGACATAAAGAAGCTATTCAAATTCTGGGAACCACAATTTGAACCCGATGTCATCAAATTCAACTCCCGGTCAAACTTCTGAACATTCCAAAGCTCCAAATTTTTAACTTTCGCCAAATAGTGCTGATACCTTCTAGAAATATCCAAATGCAAATCGGAGCATACGTCCAAGTCGAAAATTACCATACGGACCTAAAGGAACCATCAAAACTTCGATCCGAGGTCAAGTACTAAATAGTCAAACTTGATCAACTCTTCCAACTTAAAGCTTCCTAGTTGACAATCCTTCTTCAATCAATTTCGAATAACCTGAAAACAAAAATTGACGATTCCCACAAGTCATAGTACATCATACGATGCTACACAAGACTTCAAATAGCTGAAGGGAATGCAAATACTCAAAACGACCAGCTGGTTCGTTACACCATTTAGGCCTCTTACATTCCAGCTTAGTATGTTAATCATCCCCTACTGGGAGAGAACATGGTCCACCCTCATTTCCTGCACTCCCTAAATTCTTTTCACCTTCCTCCTTCCCAAGTGGGAAGAAAGATTTCTTTGTTGTTATTACAGTTTTGATTTCATCTTGAGCCCCAGTTCTATTCTGTGTCTTCAATGGTTGTGTCCATCCCCTAACTTGATATCTTTTGTTCCTTCACATCTCCTGCACATGTTTAACAGGATTTGATCTTTAATCAGGTTCATTGGCCTCCCTAACTGTACCTCCATTTGAATAGAAGTACTAGGCTCCACTGGAATAAGCATAAGCTTCCCATCTCCCTTCGTAGCTTCTCCTACCTCATTTTTGCTATTCCTCCTACATCTATCTCCAGTATGCCCATATTTTTGACACACCTCACACATAGTTGGTTTCCAATCATCGGTCACTCGTTTCTCAATGACCTCCCCTTTTTCATTCTTGAAGTAGATTACCTCAGGAAATTGATCCTCTACCTTCACTTCCACAAGCATTCTAGCAAATTGTTGTCCTACTTTATTCTCTGTATTTTTGTCTACCATTAAAGGCTTTCTTATTAAACGTCCTATCTTACTCAACCCTTTGGCACTCCAATATTTAAAATCCAGCCCTAAGAGTCTGATCCATATTGGAACAGTGGACAATTCTATTTTTGAGAACTCCATATCTAGAGTCCAAGCTTTGACAATAAGCGGTTTGTTATCAAAATGAAATATATCCTCTTGAATGACTTCATTCTTCCCCACCTCAGTGTCAAACCTCACCATCACGATGCCAGTTTTAAGCATTGCTATTTTGTTAATCCCATGTTTCCCCCATATCCACTGCAAGTAACCATTCAACACATTAAACGGAGGATATCCCCAACACATAGCAAACTGCTGCATTCCTCCAATATGTGATTTTAGACTTTATATCCTCCAATTCTATCTCCCCTATCATATGATCCCCATCCTTTTCGGGACATACAAATTCAAGCTTAAATCTTGCATCTGATAATTTTGAAATGTCAAATTTATCCCAGATTGACTATGTGTGTGCTTGCTTACCATTTTCCTTCTCATGTTCCTCGACTTCATCTGCCCGGGATAGCCTGCTCCCACTTCCCTGGCTTTTGATAGCACTATTCAATTCACTTACTCTCTCCTTCAATGGTGTAGTTACCTTCTCCCTTGTCGTGGTTTCGTTAACTTTTGATGGCTCTGCAATTTGCAGAACCCTAACTTTCTTAGTTACTGTTTTATCGATTTCTTCCGGATTTCCCCTTTTTTGTTGGATTCCTGTTTGTGCATCTTGGCTAACATGCTTGCCCATTGCTTTCTGGATTGGAATTTGGACAGGGATGACGATCTTCGCTCTCCTCCCCATGGATGGCGTATGTTAAGCTTAACGTGCGCCGAGAGAGTTCTCAGTCCTCATGCCCCTATTTTTATACATATTATTTTTGCCCTCGCCATAAAAGTTCAATTTTGGACCCATCAGCCCAGCTGAGAATGCCCGTCCAAAATCTCAGAATTGAACCACATGGCAATCCCACCAGCATTTTGGGAAACCTGCCGGCAACGCCATTGGTGATGACATTTTTTTTCAGTGTATTTATTAATTTTGCTAGTCCTACAAAAGTGATTATAACTACAGTGTTATTTTATGCCTTAAAATATAATGCAATTTAAGTTCAATGAGGTGCAAACTACGTCACCTGACATGGGTTTACTTGCAAGTATGAGCTAAATTATTACACGAAAGTGACCAATATCTACTACGTTCAGACCCTTTTTATTACACCGTTTTGTCTTTTTCAATTTTTGAAAATTGCGTTTTATTAACAAATAAAGTCAGTTGAAGATGTATTTCTATCAGCCAAAAAAAAAAAGATGTATTAGTTAATTATTAGAAACATTTTTTATTCGGCTATTCAAAAAAATAAAAGATGTACTCCTATTTGTTACCATATGTTACATGTATATAAGTTTGTTAGGAAGGGAAGGACTGCTTGGCTAGCTTGAGTGAGACCTATACTAGCATATAGTTTCGCCCTTATCTCATATTCTTTTATTCTTCTCATGATTAGATCAAATAGATGGGGAATTGTCAAGCAATAGATGCAGCTGCACTAGTAATACAACACCCAAGTGGAAAAATAGAGAGGATGTATTGGCCAGTGAGTGCTAATGAAGTGATGAAAATTAATCCTGGTCATTATGTTACTCTCATTATTCCACTCCCTAACTCTGCCTCTGGTCAGGATAAAACTGTACGTTTTACCAGAGTTAAGCTTCTTCGGCCAACTGATACTTTAGTTCTTGGCAGAGCATATCGACTTGTTACAACTCAAGGTACTTCTTTCTTTCACTTTATAATTCTTTCAGCTAATTTGGGGTTCATTGGTTAGTTTTCTTGATTAATGTGATTCAATATTGTTCCTGTCATGGTTATAGAGGTGATGAAGGTACTAAGAGCTAAGAAACATGGAAAGATGAGAAAGAAGCAGCAAGAATTGAAGGAAAAATCAGTGAATCAGAGGTCAAGTGGTGAGCTTGAAGCTGGAAATTCTGAACAAGACAAGGATAGTCAGGTAACTTTTTGAATCAATTCACTTCTATATTTCGACTAGTTCTTTCCTAAAATTCTGTATGTACCAAATAGAGCCATCAGGGGAAAAGGGTAATCGGAAAAAAAAGGGGAGAAATTTAAAAATAGCCAGATTTATAACTGGTCGTTCAAAAATAGCCCAATTTCAAAAGTAATCGAAATTTAACCACTTTTTATGTAAAGATAAATCTGAGCGAAAACACTGTTCAAGACCCGAAAAATACTCCAGTATATTATGCTGAAGTTCCAGCATAAGTATACTTGAACTCCAGCATATTATACTGGAGTTCCAGGATAGTATGCTGGGACTCTAGCATAATATGATGGAGTTCCAGCATAAGTACACTAGAACTCCAGCATAATATACTGGAGTTCCAGCAAGTATATTGGTCCAGTATAATATACTGAAGTTTGGAGCACCAGTGCTCCAGTCTCCAGTATATTATACTGGAGCCAGCAAAGTATACTGGTCCAGCATAATATGCTGGAGTTCATACACAAGTGCACCGAACTCCAGTATATTATGCTGGACCGGTCTTTATTGCAGCAAAACGTTGGCTATTTTTCATTGACTTGGTAAACGCTGGCTATTTTTGCTTGACCAGTCCGAAAACTAGCTATACCGTGCTATTTTTACGAAAAAAAGAGAAATAAACAAAATTTCGTAAGTCCTCAAATATTGAATTAAAGGCAAATTAAAGAGGGGGTCTCTCGTGGATTATCTAACAACAAGATTAAAGGGGATAAAAATAATTAGAGTCGCATTATGTTGTATCCGAATTTCAACATGATGTTACTCCCTCCCTTTTATTCTATGTGAACTTATTTGATTGGGTACGGAGTTTAAGAAAAAAAAAGACTTTTAAATTTGTGGTGTAAAATGAGGCACATATATTTTGTGTGGCTATAAATCATTGAATAAAGGTAAATTATTTCCAAATAGGTAAAGGGGTCGTTGTTTTTTGCACGGACTAAAAAGGAAATAGATTCACGTAAATTGAAATAGAAGGAGTATTATTTATTTAAAAGAATTGTGGGCTCACTATTTACTCAAATTTGATCATTTACAGGCCATAAAACATGAAAGACAGAAGCGAAGGCCTCGGGTGTCAAACTCTGCTGCTGCAAGGTCCAAATCATGGCGTCCTTCTTTGCAGAGTATTTCAGAATCCAGCAGCTGACTATAGTTGTGACTGAAATATCGACAGTGGGACTCTTTAAAATCATAGAATGTTGACACAAGGAACCAACAGAAGGCCAATCACATCTTTAGTACATGGGTACAGTGGTGGATTCAGAATTTAGATGTCGTGGGTTCTTAAATGTATATTTAGCTCTATCTAAACTTGATTTTCACACATACTGACAGAGTTCGATCGCGAAGTACTGGGTTAATGAACCCATAAATCGATAGTTGGATCCGCCGTTGGTTGTTGAATGATAATACCTCTGTGTAAATTACAATGGAAATGCGATCATCCCTTCTGCGTAAAATATTCCATAATGAAAATACATTATTTTGCATAACTCTACCCGTATTCTTTTGGAAGCATATACCTATCATTTGATTATTTTAGTATATTCTTTTTCGGTTTAATTATCCGGCCCACTAGCTCCATTAATGCACATGTGGACCGAATAAGCCTATTAAGGGGGTAAAACCTTACCTAAAAAAAGAATATTTCAGTTATAAGGGTCGAACTTGAAACCTATGATTAAGAGCAAAGGGATTCGAGCCATGTCACTACACTCCGGCTAATGAACCTTTTTAACACTCATGAAACTATAAAGTACTATCATGTTAGAATGATTTATTCTTGAAAATGCCAGGGTTGGTGGCACAAAAAGCCAAGTACAGCTTGACAAGAGCTGTTTATACCGAACTGTTTTGTTTCTGTTGTAACAAGTACTGTACGAAATCTTTCAAAAGCCAATCATTAAACTACTTCCAGGTCAGAAAGAAGTTAGACAACTACGAGAAGTGAACATGATCATTATATCGAACAAAATCCATAATATGATAAACGACAGAGAAGTACGCTTTGCAAGCATGTCATTAAACAATATATATAACTAATAAGAACATGAAGTGTCTTCGTCCTAACATGGTGCACATTCATTTTATAAAGTTAACCTACGTTGAAAGACAATAACTATCCATGATACTTGAGAAGATATGTTGAAATGATAAAGAAAGTGTATCGACCCAGCCAGTCATTTTGAGTTTTAGAAGTTAAAAATTCATTAGCTCATTACGCTTTAATTGATGTGCGATTCGTAATTTTGATGTTGTTTAGTGTGATTTGAGGCATTGGGTAGGTTCGTGTTATGCTTTGGAATTGGTTGGTGTGCTTGGATGGGATACGGGGGGCCTCAGGTGTGTTTCGGATGGTTATGGGTCATTTCCTCATATTTTGAATTGTTGGTTCTTGTCACGATCCTAAAATCGACCCGGTCGTGATGGCGCCTATCGTGAAACTAGGCCAGCCGACACAACTCCCGAATTAGCCATTTAATCAACAACAATCATTTTTAAGCCTTTAATTAATCAGATATCTCATAACGTAAGTCTAAATGAACAGTGCGGAATAAATACACAAGCCGACATCGGGGTGTCACAAGTCACGAGCATCTACTAAGGTCTGAGTACAACAAGGAGTCTAAAAATGTACTAAATACAGTCTAAGTTAGACAAGAGGAAGAAAAGCAGTGCTGCGAACGTCGTGCAACTACCTTGCTAACTCCAATGACTCTGCCGCTGAGCAATCAACACCCGCTACCGGGTTCAGAACTACCTGAATCTGCACACAAGGTGCAGGGAGTAATGTGAGTACGCCAACTCAGTAAGTAATAAAAGTAAATAAAAACTGAGTAGTAAGAAAACACGTAAGCCACGTCATAACGCTACAGCAAAAGCATTACATTTCCAAAACAGTACAAAAATTGTTTACTTCGTAAATCATGCTCAGTTTCGGTAAAACCTTTAAAAAAAAGCAACTTTCAATAGTTTCAAACGAGTGATAAAACAGTGAGTAAAAATGGTGGAAACGTAAACAGCCCCTCGGGCTATCTGACAATCACTCGTAATCAGCCCCTCGGGCATAACATAAATCAAGAACCGCCCCTCGAGCAAAACATGGATCAAGAACAGCCCCTCGGGCTTCAATATGAATCAACAACAGCCCCTCGGGCTACAACACATCACTCACACTGGGTACCCGTGCTCACTTGGGGTACAGACTCCGGGAGGGGCCCCTTATGGCCCAAGCTCAATAATAAGCCATCTCGTGGCATAATCAAACAGGCTCTCGGTCTTATATCAATCACAAGCCACCTCGTGGCATAATAAATCAGGCCCTCGGCCTCTTATATATCACAAATCAGTACTACATGCTGCGGCGCGCAGCCCGAACCCATGATATCCTCACAACACAGGCCCTCGGCCTCACTCAGTCAGATCTCACTCAAGCCCCTCGGGCTAACAGTAAAGCAAGTACTCGACTCAAAATCATTTATGAAATCAAAAGGAGTGAATAAAATCGAGTTATGAAAACAGTAAGAACATAGCATGACTGAGTGTAAACATTAAACCAAAATAGTGAGGTAAAACAGTAGTAAAAGCCCCTAAGGGTCCAAACAATCGGCACAAGGCCCAGACACGGCATTTAGCCCCAAACACAATAATATATTCCAAAATATAACAATATCAAGTAGTTTTCAAGTAAAATATATACGCGACTTTATAGTCGTGCGGGATGGACCAAGTCATAATCCCCAACAGTGCACGACCCCACGCTCGTCATCTAGCGTGTGCGTCACCTCAAAGTAGCACAACGATGTGAAATCCGGGGTCTTATACCCTCAGAACAGTATTTACAGTCATTACTTACCTCTATCCGGTCCAAACTCTAGCCCACGATGCTTTGCCTCTCGAATCGGCCTCCGAATGCTCTAAATCTATCCAAAACAGATTTATACCATCAAAATATGCTAAGGGAACAAAGCCCACACGAAAATAACCAATTTACATCAAGAATCCCGAAATTGACCAAACCCGACCCCCAGGCCCACGTCTCGGAATCCGATACAGATCACAAAACTAGAATCCTTACACTCTCACGAGTTCATACATATCAGATACATCAAAATCCGACCACAAACGACCCCTCAAATCCCAAGTTTAGGTCTCCAATTTCCAAGCTCTAACTTCCAATTTGCTACTGATTTTCCCATATAATTCAAGCTTACAACCTTAAAAATCATCATAAAAACGAGTTTAGGGACCAAGGACCTTACCTTTAAGAAGCCCTATTGAATTCTCCCTTCAATTAGCTCTCCAAAGATTCTTCCCGTTTGAAATGTTATGAAAAACCACTCAAAATTGCGAAGGATGAAATAAACATATTCTGACCCAACAAAACCGCACTTGCGGTTAAATGGTCGCACCTGCGGTCCCAGGTGCGCACCTGCGAAATTCACTTAAAACTCCAAGGCCGCATCTGGGCAAATAAATCCGCACCTGCGCAATAGCAGGTGCGACCAGGACCTCGCTTCTGCGGTCCCAACCTACCCCTCTCCTGGCCGCTTCTGCAGCTCCAAAATCCGTTTCTGCGAGTCCGCACCTGCGGTCCCCTAGTCGCAGGTGCGGTTATGACAGCAACAGAAAACTTCAGCTGCCAAACCCAACTCAAAATCACCCGTCAACCATCCGAAATCACCCCGAGGCCCCCGGGACCTCAACCAAAAGCACAAACAACTCACATTCCACTATCCAAACTTATACCAATCTTCGAAACACCTAATACAATATCGAATCAACCAAATAACATCGGATTCAAGCCTAAGGTTCCAAAAACTTCCGAATTCCTCTTTTGATCAAAAAGTCCATCAAACCTCGTCCGAATAACATGAAATTTTGCACACACATCACATATGACCCAACGAACCTACTGCAACTTCCGAAATTCCATTCTGACCCCTATATCAAAATCTCACCTATCAACCGGAAAATGCCAAAATTCCAATTTCGCCAATTCAAGCCTAAATCTACTCCGGACCTCCAAAACACATTCCGATCACGCTCCTAAGTCCCAAATCACCTAATGGAGCTAACCAAATCATAAAAATTTCAATCAGAGATAATTTACTAAAAAGTCAAAACTTGGTCAACCTTTCAAATTTTAAGCTTCAAATTGAGAACTGTTCTTCCAAATCCGTTCCGATTACCCTGAAAACCAAAATCGACGATTTACATAAGTCATAATACATCACATGGTGCTAGTCATGACCGAGAACTGGCGAGCGAAGTGCAAAAGCTCAAAACGATCGGTCGGGTCGTTACATCCTCCCCCACTTAAACCTACGTTCGTCCTCGAGCGTGCCCAGAGTTGTTTCAAAAATAATCAATCACTGAGTAGCCTTACCATGCACATACCCGGGGGTTATCCCACGTCACCCTATCTCATATAGGTCCGATAACACAATGTAACTGTAATTCCACAATCCAACCTAGCCCATAAACATTAGAACCACATTCTCACTTCTGAAATCATCCACAAAATCAGAATCTCACATCTATACTCTGAATAAGCCCGAACAAGCTGTAACAAACCATATATGCAACCTCAGATGCAATTACATGATATACCCCATAACTCAAACACTCGTAGCGATAACTTCTAATCACAGCAGTTGTTCAAAACAACCGAATATCGATAATAAGCCTCTTATCAAATAAAGCCTCATTCCAACACTTCCGTATACTGCCAATGATTAATGAAACACGTAGAAAGTCATAATCATTCTTCAGATCAACCATTTGTGAAGCCACTTCTCCTTTGGCAAGGACCATAGCAAATTTTTGAGCCGAACATCGATATTATCCTTCCAACATGCTGAAATCGAATTTGTTTGTATTAATTATAGATCCCAGCGTTCTCACCTAATCCAACACAACTACTCTGGTGACATGACACATCAATACAAACTAAGGCCACAACTCGTGCAATCCGTGCACCAATAAGCAACAACCCGAACATACTCAAATCATGAAAATGACTCAAATGAGAGAGTTGTACCGCAAGCTCACCAGTACCACCACACGCAATGCTGAGAACCCGTCATACCTCGTAGAAACAGAACACACGAATCTAACCCGAAGGGTCATACCTCCACCTAATTTCGCTGCAATGCGCGACCCTATCCAAACACTGATCCACATGAAACACCTTAAGTCACTATGCTCCAAATCGACAACCACACACAATTTGATGTCTAGAACCAAAGCAAATCATCATAACCACGGCGAAGCAATTGACATAACATTACACAAACCCGAAAGGACACAATCGATACGCCATCTGTCGAGCAATACCCAATACTCTTCCCGCTTAAATTCCACTGAGAGGCCCCAATAAAACCCGCACCATAAGTGCCTATAACCAACAAATCCTAATGCCTCACAACACGGGAAGGTAACTCATAGATCTCCCCATATCACTAATAAGCTCACTAACAATCGAATCAAC